TGAGGTAGGGTCTCACTATGTAGTTCAGGCTGGCCTTGTGCTCACTTTGTAGCTCCAGCTGGTCTCAAACTCACAAAGATCCCCCTGCCTCAGCCTCCGAGTGCTGGGATTACAGACGTGTGCCACCACCCCTGGCTTCAGTTGTTTAATTTCAATCTATATATGCATAGTTTCCGAAGTTTTCATTGTTACTTTTTTTTAGTTTTATTGCATTGTGGTCAGAAAAGATATTATTTTATTTTAATTTTTAAATTTTTTTTTCCACTGTGACCTACCATTTGCTCTATCCTGGAGAATGTTCATGTGCTGTTGAGAAGAATGTGTGTTCTACAGCTATTGAATGAAATATTCCGTAGATGTCTGTTAGATTCATTTGGTCAAAGGCACAGTTTAAACAAGTTCACAATGGGGCCATAATTCATTTGTCTCACTGCAGGCGACTCTGATTTGAATTTGATCATTCCTGTGTGACTGTTCCATCTGACAGCTTGTACCACTCTGGGGGGCTGCTGTGATTACAGTAGTGCAAAAAAGACACTGATTTAGCAGACCAGATGTCATTATATTACAGTTCCTTAAGGGAAACATTAAAATAGTATAAACAATTATAATGCAACTAATTTGTGGTATAGCAATTGTAATTGTGTATTATCTATACAGGCAGTGCAGCATTTGTAAGATTTCCATGGTAAAATTTAGAGAATTAATTATTGATTAAACTATTCATGAATATACATTTCTTTTCACTTAGTGAAATAAATTATTATAATTTTTAAAATGGTATGAATAATATTTATATTTGGGCAATACTTATTCAAATTCAAGCAACTAATTAGATTTGGTCCATTTAATAGACTTTTTATTAATTCTATTAGTAAAGATCAGTGGTAATTAGATCTGTTTGTACCACCGGTGGTACAGGCTACCTGATGGAACAGTGATACATGTACCACTAGAGTTTCAAGCCAGCAGGAGCATGTTAACTAACTCTGCTGTATCTTTGTTGTTTTACTGTCTGGTTTGTCTATTGCTGAAAGTAGGGTGTTGAAGCTCTGTGCTGTTGTTTTATTAGAGTCTGTCTCTCCCTTTAGGGCTATTAATATTTACTTTATACATATAAGTTCTCTATTTTTAGATGCATATATAGTTACAGTTATTACTTTGGACTTATTTTAGTCTATAAAACCCACTTTGGGTATTATTTTTTACTCAAATGAAGTGAGATTTCATTTTAGTTCCACTGTTACCTTTTTAGTTAGATCTAGTTCTCATGTTTGTTTAGATGCTTACTCTAGAGATTGCATTTATGTCCTTTAATCTCTACAACTATGGTTAATATTGTATAATTTCATGTAAAATATAAGATCCTTATATAAGTAATCATTCTTACTGTAAAACTTAGTTCTTATGCTATAATTTTCATATATGGTACATTTACATATTCTAGAGAACATCCCAAGTGTTAGATTTTCTTTTAATTAGCGTGTATATTTTAAAGATAATAAGAAAGTACCATCATTTGTATCTTAACGTTTTTGCTCTTCATTTTTCCCCCTGCGTATTTCCAGATGAAGTGTCTGTCCATTAGGATGCAATCGCAAAACTGTATCTTCCTTAGAGTGGGCAGCATCAGAAATCTGTTCTGTTTTGTTGGCTTTAGCTGAGCTGTGTGGAATCTGTCTCACACAGGCATATTTCAAAGGTCAGCTAGAGATTTGGACAAAGAACATGCAGAATTTAGGACTTTCCTTCTGTGCTTTACTTTCTGGAATTTACTTTCAAGATGCCTGCTGTCCAGTAGAAGTTTCTGTAACAGTGGAAAGGTTCTACAATATATACTGTCCCAGATGGTATCATTTGCCATGTGTGGCTTTTGAGCACTTGGCATGTGGCTCTTGCAACTTAGAAACAGAATTTTAAAATTAATACACATTTAAATATAGTCACTTTTGGCATATTTCATTGGACAAACTATCAGTGCAAAAAATTTCTGTTGGATAGAGCTCTCTTCAATGTTGTGGTCATTCCAAGTTCTGTCCTCATGTCTGGGTTTCAGTTGACCTCTGTATTCAGACTGGGGCCCTCTTTTAGTAGAAAGCAGGAAGCTCCAGCATTGCGTTTCCTTCATCTTTGTGTGAACTCACCTCCAGTTTATGACTGGTTTTGATTGTTCGTCAACACTGTCAAGGGAATGGTTTTGTATATTTTTGACTAGAATTTATAAATATATATGCCACTAACAGGAGCTACTCCATCATTTTACCAGATGCAAAATTCTACGTACCTCCTGTCATTTTAATAGTGACCCAATTGAACGAATTCATTTTTGTGCTTTTTTTTCAGAATTTTTTTACCTACTGCTAACATAAAATTTTCATCTGTGAATCAGACACTGCTAATGCTGACACAGTCAGTCTGATGTATTCTTTTAAGAAAGAACTAATTACCCTAATCCTGTAACCATTTAAATGAAAGTACTTGGAAGATTTATTTTTCTTTGTTTTTTAATAGAATTTTCTATTTTGAACTACTGTAGCCCCTTTTTAACTTTTAAGGTTAACTGACTCTTAATACTCTAAATTTGATATTCCCATCTTTGGTATGCTAGAATTTAATGGAATTCTTCAAAGCAATAAACACATATCACTGATAACCTGTTTGGTATACTTTGCTTTTTCTAGGTACCTGAAAAGGTTTAAAGTGATGAAGATCAAAGTTCTAAGAAGCTGGTGCCGGCAGATCCTTAAAGGACTTCAGTTTCTTCACACTCGAACTCCACCTATTATTCACCGGGATCTTAAATGTGACAACATCTTTATTACTGGCCCTACAGGCTCAGTCAAGATTGGAGACCTTGGTCTGGCAACCCTGAAGCGGGCTTCTTTTGCCAAGAGCGTGATAGGTATGTTTCAAATGTACCTTGGAGCCTGGGTGGCCTTTTGATGTTACTTTTATTTAGAAACTTAACTCTGTCTGAGCTTTGCTGACATGAATAGACCTTTAGAGTTTATAGCTTGAATCTAAAAGGTGATGAGTTCTACCTGTGAAGTGTGGAGTTTTCTATATTTTTGTTTCTGGAATCGTTTTGAAGACTATTAATGTTTTATAAAGTTAAAGAAAAGTAAGGTGAGCCTTTTTTTATAAAACCTCATATAACAATCTTACTGAGTCATTCTGTTGATACTTAATATTATATACTATCTATTTAGTAGATACAGTGTGTCCCTTCATGAATTAAATGGAATTTATATGTATGTAGTTTGATTTCTGAAATGTATGGCTGTATATTCAGAAATACTTGCTTGTTGAAATTCTATTTGAAAATATGAAAATATGACAGTTCATTTTGAAAATTTGCTTTTACTTTTAGCTTACTCTTACTCTTCAGAAGGTATGATACATCTAAAATGGGTTTCTCAACCTTAGAACTATGAACATTTGTGGCTGGACAGTTCTTATAAGGAACTGTCTCATGCATTGTAGGATTATTTAGTATCATCTCTGGCCTCTACCCACTCAATGCCGATAGCATATTGTCTGTCCACCTACCCCTGATTATTACAACCAGAAATGCTCTATGGAGGGCAAAACCATCTTTTAATGAGAATCAGTGATATAAAGAATGAGAATGTCCTTTTAGACTTAAACCGTACGTTAGAATCACAGCCGGCAAAAATAATACCTGTTTTGATAAGCTTTCACTCCCTGAAGAGATTAAGATTAAGTTGGAAAGAATCCTAAGTATTAATTTGAAAAGCTTAGAATACTTCGCACATTCTTACAAAATAGCAGTCTCCTTAGACTGTTGTATAACTAGGATTTTGGAATGCAGATTTTATGTGCATTGTTTTGTAAAGCATTAACAAGAAGAATGGGGAAAAGTTATTTGAAGCTAAATTCATTTTACTTTCTTCACAGGAAGTATTTCTTTCCTTGTCTTCGACATTTTAAAATCCCTGGCCCAAGAGTTACTTTTCTTTGTTTATTAAGTCATACTATACAAGCTTGTTCTTGGAAATGCCCTATAATTTGAGGTATAAAGAATTATTTTGAAACATTGCATAACCTAGTGTTGTGGGGTCACAGATTCTATTCTCATAATCAGTTTATATTTGAGTTCTATTTGTGTGTGTATTTGTTTTTTGCCTATACGATGTCTGTCCCTCAATATTTTCTGTACCTGAGGTAGGTTTTTTTTTTTTTTTTTAATGTACTACAAGTGGGATGGTAAGTACTTGAAGAAAAAGGCTCTGGTTAGTGGCCTTTACAGACAATTTAATTACACTTTATTACCTTTAAAAGTGTAAATATGCAAGGCTTTTCACTGCAGGGCCTTCTTAAAAAGTGACAGTGATCAGATGGAGTATTGTTAATGCAAGAGACTAGCTGTAAATGTTGACTTTGCAGCTACCATACAGTAGGGGGCAGACAAGTATTTAATGTTTCAAACTTACATTTTATAGACAGTTGCCATTCCATCTGCTTTGTCGCTGCTAGTTTCTTAATATTTCTTTCCATTTGTTTTCGGCATGAACCATATTAGTTTATCTCTTAGTCAAGGCTCTGTTAGACATACTATGTGACAGGAGCCTTTTTTTTTTTGTACCAGGAATCAAACTCAGAATGTCACACTTGTCAGGCAGGTGCTGAGGAATCTGTTTTAAACGGTATATAATCAGATATTTGACCCTGTCCAGTTTATCAGTAAAGGCCTTGCAGTGGAAGATCTTTTGTGAAATATTTGGTAAAACAAGCTGACTTGTTTTTTTTTCTCTTTTTTCCTCTCCTTTTTCTCCTCCTTTTTCTCCTCTAGTTCTTCTTCCCTCCCTTTTTCTCTCTCACAGGTCAGCCCCTCTGCTTGTTTCCCCTGGTGAGTAACATCTACAGCTTCTGCTTGCATTGAGTCTGAATCATTCTTTTAATTTAAGGTACCCCAGAGTTCATGGCCCCTGAGATGTATGAAGAGAAATATGATGAATCTGTTGATGTTTATGCTTTTGGGATGTGCATGCTCGAGATGGCTACATCTGAATATCCATACTCGGAGTGCCAAAATGCTGCACAGATCTACCGTCGAGTGACCAGTGTAAGTCTTCCCATACCTGTTGGTGAGCTTTGGTCACATCTAACAAGGAATGTCAACCTGGATAATATCCTACCATGCATAGGGAGCAATATAGAATATATACTGAATAAGGTATTGGGAGGAGTGATATTGAGGTATATGCAAGGTTCATGGAATAATGAAACTAACAGTTTATCCTGGGCCCAACTTGCATTCACTTACACCTTTTTAAAATAAGATGAGGGGGTTGTTTTTTTTTTCTTTTGGGGTGGTTTTTTGTTTTGTTTTTGTTTTGAACACAGGATCTCCCCATGTAATTTAGAGTGGCCTTGAACTCACTATGTAGCCCTAAACTCATGCCTCCTGCCTCAGGCTCTCGAGTGCTGGGATTACAGGTGTGTGCTCAACCCTATAGGAAGCGTGGAGTTCCATAGGATGTGTGTAAAAATCACACCTATCACCTACTTTTTAGCACCCATCAGCTCATAGTAATCCTTTTAACTCATGATCCTTTGTTAAAGTTATTAAAGTAATTTGTTCACAGACTTTTCTCTGAATGGCTTGATTTGATATATTACCCTTCTGTTTCATTTTGTTTTATTTTGTTTCTGTCTTTTTGAGACAGGGTTTTACTATGTACTTCAAGCTGGCCTGGAACTCACTTTATATCCCAGGCTGGCCTGAACTCTCAGCGATCCTCTTGCCTCAGCCTCCTGAGTGCTGGGATTATAGGCATGCACCACACACCCAGTGGTATATTAACTTACTAAATCATATGAGTCTCCACAATATTAAAGGTATAAATTAATACCTTACTAAACTACCTCTGGCAGAGATTATTTTCTTGAGCTGTCCACTTGCAACCTAAAATGTAATTTTTAGGATTCATCATTTTGTTTTACTACTGTTTGTTTCATTATGTCCCCACTATACTCACAGTACAGATCTTTTGGTACATAACAATCCATACCATAGAGACTTCTAGATCGCTTTATACCCTGAATTCATTCAGATTATGTCCCCTGTTGTCCCAGAGATGTCTGCATATAGTCTGTCTTCAAAACAGGCTCTATCAAGGTCCACAAAAGATATTTTATTGTTATATTTCATAGTTTGTTGCTCCCACCTTCTTTATCTGCATGCCATTGAATCATTGAAGAAATTATTTTGAAAAGTATCATTCATTTAGAATTCATCTGTTTGCTTCCTGTGGTGTCATTTTACTTACCATTCTGGGTTCTATATTTCTGTTTTAAAAATTTATCTTAGAGTATGTCAGCAATGTAAAAATTTTGTTTTGCATTCATGCAAGTTGTGTACAGTGTAGTTTTCCAGCATCTGTATGATATGTATTACAGAAGAGGCAAGGTAAAAGATGTGGATCCATTTGTCCTCTATTAAGTCATATAAAACATGGCAATGAAAATTCTGGATCTAAAATTTTTAAATGTTATATAATATTAACATAGGTTTGTGAAAACTTCTAATGAATTAATAAATACTTTTAGACATTCTCAGTTTTACTTCTAACAGTAAATCTCAACAGATGTAACACATATAAACAAAAACCTACTGGTCCCCAATAATTTTGAGTGCAAAAGAGTCTTAAAAATCTGAGAACCATTGTTCAGAAAGTTTAGACAAAATTTAGGGTAAACACTGTCACAAGGACTGTGTGGCACTGCATATCTTACATTACATTAGGAAGTACATTATATCTCCTTAACCCAATCTTAGTGAAGCAGTTTCATTGAACCTTGCCATATTAGAAGATGTGACTATAAATTACTTAGATTTTGAGAGCTGATCAGAATGGAAATTCGGTATTTTTAAAAACCTGATGAAAAATACTTTGTGTTAGGTAAATTAGTTTCATATCTTCACAGAGGCTTGGATGAAATCTTTATAGTCAAAGCTTAATTATATTATAACCATTGATTATAATTATGATGAAATATTCCTTGACTATTTTCTTTGTGTGAGTCTTCTGTGTGTGATTTGGGTGGAGCTTCTAAAAGTTTATTTAATACAACATAAATAGTAAGAAGTAGTAGGATCTTCATAATCAATAAAAATAATAGTTACTGTTTGCAGAGAAAGCAGCATTACTCTCAAATTATTTCTGAATTTGTTTGTTTACATAAGTTTGTTGAGACAGGATCTTGCTGTGTAGTGTAGGCTGGCCTTGAACTTACGGTAGCCCAGGCTTGCCTCAGCCTTGTGAGTGCTAGGATTACAGGCATGCACCATCATACCTGGCTTATCAACCTCCTTTCAATACCCACCCATCTTGTCTCATCCCAGAATTCATGATAGGATTCTAATCCATGAAGCACTGATTCTTTATTGGCCTAGATGTGATGAAGAAGAATGAACTTTAGTAGGTCGTCGTGTCATTCTATTAAGTACCATAATCATAATTTTAGTTGTGCCGTTTGAACATCAATCTGCTAATCTGCTTTGCCTGTCAAGAGTTCTGTACCTTTATTCCCAGTGCAGATTTCTTAATATTTCCCCTTCTCCCAGTAATTAACATTTTCCCTTTTTTTTCCTCTTAGGTTCATTATTGTGACATAGTAAATTCAGTCATTCTTGTTTACTGAAATTACAGCTAGATACTAAAGCAATCTGACATTTTATTACAATGAGTAACCAAGTAAATGAGAGAAAATATAAGGTAATAGATTCAAAGCTAAGGGGGAAAGTACCAAAAGCTGCTATGGATCAAAGTTGATTTGTAGATCAGTATGTTATGAGTGATGTTATTAAACAGTAAAACATGTTTCTATTATGTGACCTGCGGCAAATCACTGCTAAGCCTTAATGTCCTTACGTGAATAGTCATTATTGCCAAAGATTGTTGTAGAAAACAAATGCACTGAAATTGTATGAGGAAAAAAAAGAAGAAATTGTGTAAGAAAATGCATTTGAAAAAAATAAGTTTGAGGTTCAGATACATTACGTCCAAAATCTTTCATTTTGAAATTTTACTTGTTTTATTCCTTAGCTTTTCATTAAAATAGTAAATATGTGACAGGTTATTCCATGTACAAATGATGGTCTAGGTAGTAAAATTTAAAAGTACAAATCTAATTACATAATGAAGTTATAGCCTTTCTTAAAGTGTGCTTTCTCTGGTGAATTTTCTTTTGTCAGTGTATTAATCTGATGTGGGTTTTTTGGTCTTGTCTTTTGGGTTTTTGTAGGGCAGGATCTCACTATGTAGCCCAGGCGGGCCTCAAACTCATGGTGATCCTCCTGCCTCAGCCTCCTGAATGCTGAGATTACAGGCATGCACCACTATGCCCAGCTAATCTGATGTTTTGTGTTTTGTTATTTTTATTAAATCTTAGAGGATCTTTGAAGATTTGATTTGTTTTCTATATAACCTAATGCGCCAAGTCAGCGTCTTGATTAAGAATAACTTTCTTGATTAAGAATAATTTTCTTTTTATTGTATATGCATAATAAAACGTTTATGTGTTTAGCAGCTGTATTAAGCTGTTTTATATGCAATCGAATTCATCCATTTTTTTTCTTTTCTTTTCTTTTTCCTTGTCTTTGAGACAAGGTCTCACTATGCAGTTCAGGCTGGCCTTGAGCTCACTTTGTAGCCCAGGCTGGCCTCAAACTTGCAATAATCCTCCTGCCTCAGCCTCCTGAGTGCTGGGATTACAGGCATGTGCCACCACACCTAACTTTCATTCATTTTTAAATGTATACCTAAGTGTTTTTAATACACTCATAGATTATATATGTAGCCATTACTGCAGTTTAAGAATAATTTCATCATCTAAAAAATTTCATCCCCTGTGTAGTTAAGCTATTATTCATACCTAAATCCTTCTAGCCAAAAGCAACCATTAATCTATTTCTATCTTTATAGAAGTTCCTTTTCTGGATATTTTATATCAAAGGAATCATAGTATATAGTCTTTCGTGACTAGCTTCTTTTGCTTAGCATGTTTTTAAGGTTCTTTCATGTTATCACAAATGTTCATATTTCATTCCCTTTTTTGCAGGTCAAACTTAGGACCTTGTGCATGGTAGGCAAGCACTCCACCATGGACTGAGCAATAGTCCTAGGGTTTTCATTCCTTTTTTTTTAGAGCTGAGTAAATACTTCATTTTGGGTGCACATCATGGCTTGTTTAGTCATTCACCCATTATTGAACATTTGGACTGTTTCCATGCTTTGGCTATTGTGAATAGACTTGCTAGACATATTCATGTATAAGGTTTTGATTGAACATTTGCTTTTTGTTCTTTCTGGTATATCTGTGGGAGTGGAATTACTAGATGATATGTTCATTGTGCATAACCATTTCAGGAGTTGTTTTCCAAGTAACTGTACCATTCTACATTCCCACCAGCAGTGAGAGATGATTCTGATCTCTCATTATTCTTGCCAGCAGTAGTTATTAATTAGTTTTTGATTCTAGCTATCCTAGTATTTGAATTGGTGCCTTAATATGTTTGGAGTTTTGGAGTTTGTTTATTTGTTTGTTTGTGACAAAGTCTCGCTGTGTAGTTCAGGCTGGCCTAAAATTCACTGTGTAGCCCAGGCTGGCCTGGAACTTTCAGTGATTCAAGTGCTAGGATTGCAGGTGTGTGCCACCATGCCCAGCCTTAATATGGTTTTTGATTTCCATTGCTCATTAATGATGTTGAACATCTTCTTCATATACTTATTTATTGTATATCTTTCTTTTAGTTGAAAAAAGGCCTATTTTGCTCATTTTCATTAGAATGATCCTTTGCTCATTTTTAATTAGATTTTTATCTTTTTCTTATTTAGTTCTTTGTATATTCTAAATATAAGTTCATCAGATAAAAGATTTATTATTTTCTCCCATTCTCCCATGAGTTTTCTTAATAGTGTCTTTGAAACACAAAAGTGTTTTATTGTAATGCAATCCAGTTTATTTTATTTATTGTTTATATGTGCTTTTGGTGTCATAGCTAAGAATCCACTGCCAAATCTGTTTTCAGGAAGATTTACTTCTGTGTTTTCTTCTAAC